TGGGAACAACCTCAGATAAAGACTGGAAAGACTGGAAGGTCTTTATGCAAATGATACTTACCTGGGAAGAAAAGAATAAAGATGCAAAGAGACAATTTTTATCAAAGTTTCGGTTGATAGATTTAGCTGATAAATCAGATGCTGATAGAATGCAACAAATTACTAACAGTCAAATCAGAGGTCAGTTTGTTCAGAAATTTTTAACATATTGTGATATATCAGCATTTTATGAAACTTAGTACTCAGCATTTTTGTTAATCATACAATGTTTTGATGTTCTTGGGCTTTGAGTATTTGACTTGGCTTGAGCAAAACACACGGCTCTTTGACTTATTGTTATGCTTTTCCCTTTATTATAACACTTTATGTGGATTGTTTTTATCATAATTTGTCACAATTTATGATTAGGTTATTACAGATTACAAGGAGACACACCTAAAATTCAACATTTAAAAAGTGATTCTGTTGAAAAAGATGAGACAATAGCCAAAATCAAGAAGCAGGTAAAATCTTTTAAAGATGTTGGAGTACAGTTTGATTACATGGGTAAGATTACATTGTGCTTTTATAATGTTACATGTAACAGATAGCAGAGAAGAAGATATTCTCAATTCAAGGAGACAAACCTCAGTTGATAAACTGGGAGGATTTTGGTTTGAGAATTAGTTTAGAAGACTGTAGCTTATCACCTTCACAGACAGTAGAAATAGAAGTGATTGCTCTTATAGGAGGACAGTTCCAGTTTCCTAAGAATACTATCCTAGTCAGTGCTGTGTATGCAGTATCACTCTCAAAGCCTCTCCTGAAACAAATAAAATTAGAAATACAGCATTGTGTTGATTTATCAAGGCAACCAGCTCTTAGTCGTTATCTCAAGTTTGCTATAGCTCCATTAAGCCACACACCCAGTCTTCCTTACCAGTTCTCAATAGTTGAGGGAGGAGAGTTTAAACCTGTTAGTTGGTATGGATCCATTCAGCGTAAAGAGTTCTGTTTGGTAGCTATTTTTGGGGAGAAACATCTACCCAAATCATCAACTAATGGAGATGAGTCAGAGGAAGAGGAGGAGGAGCAAGAGGAACAAGCAGAAGAGGAAATTGAGGAGGAAGTGGAAGATGGTGATAGTGATTCATCCAGTGATTCTGATAAGACTAAAAATCCACCAGGAGGTAGCAGTGGAGGACAAGGTCAGTAATACGTCAGTGAGTGTGTAATAGTATATAATGAACTGAATCTATTCCACTATAATAGGAGAGTCTACTAATAATAAGGGAGTAGAGGAAGAGGAGACTGGAGGTCAGCCATTACATGAGGAAGGAAATGAAGAGCAAGATACATAGGCGGCGGCAGGGTCGGGCATGGACGGGCAATGCCCGACCAAAAATTTTGACCGGAAATGAAAATTTAGTTAATGACATCATTTTTAGTCATAAATAATTACCATGGCTAGCAAAAGACAGTCATTTCTGCTTTCCTTTGTCAACAAGCCTTCCAAGAGGACCAGGACTAGCACTTTACAGGTTGGATAGAGCTTTACATATAAAATAGGGGGCCTTTTAGGTGCATTTTTATGCTTTATCATATTGTATGCGTGCGTTGAGTATACGCCCTAGCCTCGCGTAGCCAGCCCCTCCCTCAACGGGAGGGTCTGGTCGAATGAGTGTAGATCGTTCGTTCTACTTCACCCCAAAACAGGGTGAACCGGATGTGGTTGTAGTAGGCGTTACCTTAATCCTCGTGGTACATCAGATGCTCTTACTCGAGCTAAAAAACTCTGGCACTAACGCAGAGAAAAGAAGCAGAAGAGAAGCTGTTTAGCCATCCAGACAAAAATTGTAGCCTGCTCTCTCCAACAGCCTTGCCAACAACAGATAGAAGATATTTAACCACGTGTTGCATAAAGTATGCGGTGGTGAACAAACATAATACGGACTTATTTAATTAATCACGGAGAACGAATGATGTACACTCATTCGACCAGACCCTCCCGTTGAGGGAGGGGCTGGCTACGCGAGACT